GGGAAGGTGAGCATCATAGAATGTCAATTTAATAGAAGTGTTCTTGCTTTGAGGGAGTACGTGAGTGGAGGCCCAATGTCTAGGTTTGGTTTTTGGCTGTGTCACGAAGATGGACTTAATATTCACATTCTTTTAAAAATGATGAGTGTAGGAGATGGGCGGGATAATGGAGAACCAGAATCTAGAGGGCTGAGCACAGTAGCAGTGGTCTGGGGGATGGAGCAGGAGTACCCTCAAGGATTCAGAGAACTATCACGATTTAGAGACCATTTAGATATGCAGAGAATGTGAAAACTGATGTCGTTGGAAATAGGATTCGAGCAGTATCGATGATAGCAGAACATGTTTTAGACAATTTGGAAATGTCCAGATGATTACACCCAGGAGGACATCTAGAAATTGGACTAGAGATTTGGACTATAATGATAAATGCACAAGGGAGTGGTGGCCAGCCCTAAGTGTAGTGTAAGAGGAAGGGGGCAGGACTCCAAGAAGACTGCAGTTAACTCATGGGGAAAATATGGTGAGACACACAGGACAGGAACAGATTCAGAGACTGGAGGCAGTGTTGAGAGGGCGAGAAACTGTTTTCAAAGGCTTCCAGCCAGAGTTTAGGGAAGAAAAAAACAACATAGAGGTTAGTGCTGGATTGTCAAACTTTGTGTAAAGGCATAGACTGTAAACATTTTAGGCTTTGTGGCCTATCATCTTTAGATCATGGGCTCAAAATAGAAATAGTATTGTCTCTAGCCTCTTCCCACTAGAAGCCAGTAGCAATACCTCCTCATCTTATACCCCCAAATGCTACCATAGTTCTAAGACTCTCTAAATAAACAAAGAGCAAAAATTACCCTGGGTGGAGAGCTGTTTCATGAATATCTAATTGTATGGTTTCTTTTAAATTCTTTCATTTGAAGAAAAAAAGAGTATCTCAATCTCATAATCTTTTCTAAAAAGATTTCAAGATACAGTATATATCCAAGCAGTAATCATTAGGTAGATAATTCTATATATGAAAAAAACTTACTATAAAATACCTAATATCAGGTCATGTTGATTAGAAATCCTTATCTGGTAACATGGCGGTGCAACACAACCCTTTGAAGAATCAGAGTCCATAAACCAGAGTGGGTGCTTAGAATGCCGTTATCCTTAGGTTCAAGTGGTGAGTACATGTAGGAGAAACCCACCCAGAGAAGAGCAAGCGCAGCCTCGGGAAGGGAGAGTCCTTGGAGTGACGTTACCGGTTCCTATCAATGATGCTCAGGATAACGCAATTTCAGTAAACTTAGAAATGACACACCGATGGGACAAGTCAGAACTAGAAAATGGAAGCTGATTACTGCATGTGACTAACACCAGTCAATAAGCATGGCAAAGTTCAACAAGCAATGCCAAAACCAAATTTCATATAATATCTGGAGAATGCCTTGCTATGTCCAAAAGAAAATAAAGATCTACGGTGTCAGAAACTGTTAGCTAAATGGCAGCGTTGTACTAAAAATATGAGCAGGGTACTGACAAGCACATCAAGGATATGGCAAAGATGCTTAAAAATTGATCTCCATAAAGGGATACTGGAGAAAAACTGGGATGGAGGGGAGGATACTGTCTTTCAATGTAACCAAAGGTTATTTAAAATGGGACCAAGGAGGGAGTTGGGCAACTGAGAATAAATCTAGGCAAATGAGGATTCACTACGAATGAAAACACCAAGTAGAGATGTGGTTATTATCTCACAAATCTGATTGAACTAACCACAGGAGTGATGTACACACTAGATTCCACTCTTATCTAAAAACCCAAAACCAAGAGGTCTATTGGTAGTGTGACTCCAACCATGTCAATTTGTTGCAACCGGTGATAAGAAATTGCTTCTTAAAAACAGAATTTCTAAAGTACCAACAATCAAATTGATGTATACCAACTTTATTTTTACATGTAAAGGCTAATGAAAAGCCATTAACTAATTATATATATATTTTAAAAAATCTCAAATGAAAAGAAATTGAAAATTATATATATTAAAAAAATCTCAAATGAAAAGAAAAACATCTCAATTATATTTACTTATTAGATGCTAATTTTGTAAGACATGAGAAAACATCCAACATGCATGCTTAAGTACAATGGATTCAAGACATTACATGCACCAAGGCTGGATTACAAATTATCATAGTCGTCGTCATCATCATCAGCATCATCGGCATCCTCATCCCGTTTTCTTTTCAATGCATTTGATGGCTCACTGGCAGTATTTTGTGACGAAACCATGTTAGTGGCAATAAGAATGTTTTTGGACCCAATCAATGATGGATTAATCAGAACATTCTGAACTGATGTTGCTGGAATTGATGCTTTTACAGCCGGGGGCTGTGAGGTGGGCATCTGCACCGTGAACTTTTGTCCTGTAAGGGACATTGGCGTTCCTACTTTAGTTGTAACAGACATGGGCTGTGGGGTTGGTGTGCCCAGTGTGGGAGTACTAGGTCTGCTCGTAACAGAACCAACACTTAGCCTCGGAACGGTTATTCTTCCTGCGGAAGCAGAGGTCTTTTTCTGTAAGGACTTAAGCCTATAATTTGGAGCAGTCAAACAGTACCTATCTGGTGGCAGTCTAGGCCCTGAATATGGTTTGATCAATGGCAAAGGGGTCTGATTTCTTTGCCTTGCAATATCTAGTAAAAAATCTCTTGGGGGAGGAGAGGTAAAAGATTGGTCGGCACGACACTGGATTGCCAAACGCACATCATCTGCATCGACAGTTGCTTTCTTGGCATGACTGGAATAAATTTTTGCATCATCTAGAATTGTAGTCACATATCGGAAGGCAAACTCCAGCATCTGGTTTATAACTCTTGGCTCATATTCTGTAATCCCCATATCCTTCAGGATTTGTGCCATCATCTGTGCGTCTTTCGGCATGCTCTTGGGAGAAGTCACCTTGGCAGACTCCATGATATCCGATGATCAAACTTTAGATCATTTGAAAGAAATACGCACATTAGATCAAACCTGAAATAGTTACTTTAGTAGCAACTGTCAGGAATTAAAAAAAAAAACCCACCAAACCCAAAACTTTTAATATAAATATTTAACTGTTATGAGGTATGCTTAAAATTGCTCATATTTATTGAGGTTCTACCTTATAAAAATTGCAAAATATATAAATAGGAAGACAACAACTAAGGGCCAGAGTAAAATTATATACATATATAACTAAGAATATATTCGTGTCACTTTCAACCACCAAACTAATCCTAGAAAACACTGTAGAAACAGTCATATTCAACTGCCTACCGAGTTAAAGCTTATTTGTGAAATTAATCTACTTTCTCACTGTTTCCATTTACATACTGAGCACCACCTGTGAGTGTTCACCCAACTCTCCATATTCAAAGTCTAGCTATCCTAAGGATAGCGAAGGTTTTTAGGCTTTCTCAATTATTCTTGTTCATAAGAATTGCTAACCAATTTCGAGGGGCAGTGATTAAAATAGCCAGCACTGGCTAGCACTGGACACTCAATATTTTTGGTTCCTGGCAGGTTCTCTTTGCTTTTTGTATCGTCTCAGAAAATCACTTAGTACGAGTAATACATTACTATTCTTAGCAGGTTACCAAATAGGCCCTTAATACCTGGCTTGAAAAAAAAAAAATCCAACACCAAAGTATCCCTTACCTTCTTTAGCTAAATCACCCACATTAATGTATTTCAGTCCTGATCTTGATGCAAGTTCTTTGCCTAGTGTGGTTTTTCCAACCCCTGGTGTACCTGTAAGGAAAGTCATGGAAAAATACGTTTTGTGAATATTACTTATTAAATGCTGGCCATTTAGCTAGCTATTTGCCCTTACGGCTAAAAGCTGAAATAAATGTTTTCCTAATTAGCAATTATATACAAATAAACGGTATGACCTAATAAAAATGTCCCCAAGCCAGAGGAATGAATGTCAGAATCACCCATTCAGGTAACTGAGGCCAAAGATGCCTACCAACAACCAGGATTGGCCCAGATTACCTATCACCAATCATTCACCATCACTTACTTAACAGGTAAAAGAACTTAAGTCTTCATTGAAGATTTGATAAGTATGATGGACAAGTCTCATTTCTATGGAACCCTCATTACAGTGAACCCTCGCCACTTCGCACTTCGACTTCCGCAGCTTCACTCTATCGCGGTTTTTGCGTAACAGTGCATGCTGTCATTACTGCCACTGATTGGCTCATACTATACACGCTTGATGCCATAGATAATATAATAAATAATAAATGATAATTGTAACGTCCAAAATGTTTTACTGTATTTTCTTTTAGTTTAATAAATTGGGTAATACGAGTGTAATGGTGACTAAAGGGTGTTTTTTCATGTCCTCTATGCTCTAACTACGAAAGTATTTGATTTACAAATAAGGAGTCCTACTTCGCGGAATTTCATTTATCACGGTAGGGTCTAGAACCGATTAACCGTGATAAACGAGGGTTCACTGTAGGTCCTTCCTGAGAAGGAACTACTAAAAATTCGGTTTCCATCTTTCCAAAGCAGTACTGTGTGTTGGTTCATTCACTCCCTGCCATCCAGTCAATGCTGACTCATAGTGACCCCTTGTGGGTTTCCAACTACAGGCCAGCATGTAGCCACTACACCACCAGGGCTCCTTAAGACATACATATTTACATGTGGCATGCCACCACATATTCTCTTCTACATAAAAGGAATACACTATACATTTTTTCACCTTCCTACTCTCATGTTTACATTTCAAAATCATATCTGTGCTACATTCAGTTTAATAATGAAATTATGAAGCTCAATTAAAAACTGGTCATATTCAGGAAAAGAAAATTTACCACAAATCCACAGTAATAATAATGTTTGAACCCTGGAATCACGATTTATTTAAAAAATAAAAAACCCCTCAGATTTCTGACCATATAGTGCAGTATTAAAAAACAAAACTAAAAACCAACCTAGGTACTTTGACTCAAACAAATCACCCATTGTAAAAATCTTCCCTTTGTGGAATCTTGGACTAAATATAACTTGTGCACAACCAATGTTTGTTAACAAAACTCTTGCTGTTTCCAAAACAGTGCTGCAAGTTTTCTGTAGGTCGTAATATCATCTACACCCATCACTTTCCAGTAAGTGAGGTAAGCCGCCGTTAATATCGACCATTTTGTCTACACGTTGAAGCACAAAGACTGGCAACATCCAGCAGTTTATTTCCCCCCCCTCAACACGTCTCAACACCAAATATCCCCAAGAACCCCACGGTCACCCCCGAAACCACGAGAAAAACGACCAGAGATAGCTTTCTTAAAGGGTGAAAAAACCAACCGACATGCAGTAATCCAGACCCACAAACACCAGAACCCATTTGCGAACTCGAGTTCGCTCAGACGCAAAGGGAAAAAAAACGGGCTGCCCTGGAAGGCCTAAGGCCACACCGTTAACAAATCAAATCGCCGGCCTCACGCTGGCCCACTAAAACCCCGCGATAACCCTATTAAAAAAATCAAGAAGCAACACACCGTTCTGCAAAACCAAACCAAAACCCAGATTCAGGAAGACCAAGTAGTTAGCCAGACAGGGAGGCTGGATGTGTCTACCTCTCCCCAGCCACACCGAGCTGCCTCGCACCAACTGAAACAACGCCCGGAGCCACCGCTCTCCCCGCCCCCCGCGCAACGCTCGCGAGGCCCAACCGCCCGCCCGGGCGCCGGACACGCGGCCTAGACGGCCCCAAGTAGAACACTGACAGGCCTCGCTTCGAAGTCTGAGGCCCCCAGCACTCGTTAGCCCTCCCCGGCCCCGCCGCCCAGCCCCACCGGCCGCGCGCCCTGACCGGTGAGCAAGATGTTTGGCTGCTGCATGGTCTTCACAGCGATGCTCCGAGCGGCCCAACTCACGCTCCAGCGAACGACGGGGAGGAGCCGGAAGGGGCGGGCACCGGCAAACGCCCGCCGCCCTGGGGTCCTTGAGCTCCTGCATGGAGCTTCCAACTCACTTCTACGACCCGGTCGCTGACCATTGGTTACCTGGCCTTCTATGACAGGCTTCCATCTTGGGGTCCACGTCAGAGGCATAGTTCGGGTTCACACTTTAGGTCAGGCAGTACACTGGACAGCTAAGTTACCCGCCCTTTGGGCGGCCCCGCCCTTCGGGCCGGGTCGCGGAAGCGCCGGCTTCTATGGAAAGTCCCCGGGAGGCGGGGCCTCCAAGTGGCTCGGCCGTGGGTCCGGATAGAGTTGCTCAAACACCAGCAGCGGTGCCCGTGTACCTCCGCTCCTCTCTGCCCACGAGGGGATGCAGTTCTCAGAAAGTAAGGCCACCGCGGTTACGCCTCGAATAAATGCATGTCCTAGAGATGCCAGCCTGTCTCTGCCGTCACACATTCCCAGCTTCCGTCACCTCTCTTCCTCGTTGGGGATCATAGGGGTGAGGGGGCACAGCCCTCGCCTGCAGCCGGGTAACGGGAGGTCATTTTGGCTCACAGCTCATAAACACCACCACTTCGGGCCAAGTTTGAGTTTAGTTTTCTGTATGCAGTGTGTGCGGTACCGGTGGGTCTGCTCGAAATGTTGAAAGCCTCTGACATCTGAATCTGGCATCACTAAGACGGTTGCATGTTTTTTAAAGTTTTTAAAAGTTGCCTTGTTTTCGAAGAGTGTTTCGAGGCTTGACTATTAAGAAGTATCTCTTTTACGCCGATCTATCAACGACATTTATTTTGGAACTCTGTAACTAAAAACCTTTGTGAACAGTTTTTGCTTTGCTTTGAGTGTGTGGGAGGATTTAGACATTATAAACTATGTATGCCTTCGAACTATAAAAAAATCCAGTATCCCTTGCCATTTTTATATTGGTTGACCATAAGCACTTTTCTTTGGTTAGTCAGTGCACTAGTTGTCCAAAACTAATTGTTGCCCCCTCCAGTTTTTAATATGGAAAAAATTGTAATAAGATTTAAGTTATTCATCCAAAGTAGTTGGTAAGCTTGAATTCATGTTTTGCTGTATTTTATAATTTTAGAAATGAACAATTAAATTTGAGATGGCAAAAATTTAATTATCAGTATAAAGTCTGCCAAAATTTTGAAGAATAATGATAAAATATAGGTACATATGTGCATTTTTCTCTTTAATAGATTTTTAAAATTCATATGTGAAAAAGTTTGGAATACTAAAAATAATTAAGTTATTGAAAGTAAACTTTAATTTAGCATTTTGGTTTCATGCTTTACATATGTGTACTCTATACTCTTACTAGTTCTTCAGCATTAATGTGTATGGTTTTTCTTAATTGAGTTTTTTTATTTATTTTGTTCTCTAGGTGAAGTATATTTTAATGTACTATAGATTACATACGACGGATGGGAACTATCAAAGTTTATAATGTCAAAAACTTCTCTTAGACCAAAGCTATCTTCCACAAAGGTAAAATAAAATAACCATGTGCAAATTGACCAAAAGGAATGAGGTTTTTTTTTTTAACTCTAGACTATTTATTTTAATTGGGAGTTAATACATGCATCATTCCATCGTTCAATCACATCAAGCAATATTCTGCAATTGCTACCACAGTCAGTTTCCAAACATTCTTTTCCTTCTTGAACTCCTTGACATCATCTCCCTTGTATCTCCCTCCCCCATATTGTACCCTCCCCCCCAAACCCCTGATTCTACTTTCTGTCCCTATCAATCCTGTTCATCAATCCTGGGTTTCATCTACTGACAAACAGAAAAACATATAACACAAATTCAAGAGAGTGACCACGCCTCTATGACATAACACATCTGAGTTAAACCCTAATATGAATTAACAAAAAAAAAAATACACAAAAAATGTTGAATACCAGATCCGATCCAGCGTGCATCAGAAGGGGGATCAACTGACAAGGTTTTAACTGTTCACAGTCAGGTTCATCCCTTTGATCTTCTATACTCCAGTGCACTCTGTTTAGTAACCACGTCCCTCCCATCCCTCTATTATGGATAGAAGTAGATCACTGGAGACTTATTTCCTGTATAGTTCCCACAAATGTATCTTAGACTCCCACTGTCATCCATGGCTTTCTGCAAACCGGATTCTCACAATTTAGGCTCTGATACGATTCCCTTCTTTGACTTTGGGTTGTATGATTTACAATCCTTCAGTGACTGTTGATGGTTCGCTTCTTCCACGTGGACTTAGTTGTCATCAGAATGAGAATTTTTTGGGTATGTTCTTAATGACTTATCCCTGCTATCACCGTAATAGTGCCTAGTATCTGTTTTGTTATTTAGTTATAAGTTGTGAAACAACCTTAATATTGAGAAAGCTTTTCGATCCCAGTCTCAAAGAAAAGGTTGTACACTGTTAAATAAAACATATGAATTATACTTGGTGTTATAGCAAACCACAGACCATAAACCTACTGCCATTGGGTCAGTTCTGACAGTGACCTTGTAGACTTGCTCTGTGAGGTTTCTGAGACTGTAAATTTTTTTTTTAATAGTTTTATTAGTACTTTATTCACATGCTATATAACTAAATAATTCATTATACCAAGAATTGTACAGTTGTCACCATATTCAATTCTAGAACATTTTCTTCCTTGCAGTCATTGTTATTCCTGAGGCTCTGAATTTTTATGGAAGCAGACTGCCTCATTTTCCTCCACAGAGCAGCTCAGTGGATTCAAACTGCCAACCGTTTGGTAAAGAGCCCAACACTTAACCTCCTATGACACTACGGTTCCTTAATGGACTCTATATTTTAGCAATCTTGTGGCTCAGGGTACCTCAAATTGGGATAGGTGGGATGGGATTGACAGCAGACAGTATCATATTCATGCAAGGTAACAGTTTTCTTAGTAATGGCTGTGATTTTCATTGATCTTAAGTAAATTATTTAACTTTACCATGTTTCCCCCTCAGTAATTAGGAGTCCATGTTTATGTTGCTAGGCAATAAAACTATAAAATCTATCAGTAATATGCTGATTGATATGAATTGAAAACAGGTTTTAATATATCAAAGTATTTTCATAGACCCTTCAAAGTAGAGGATACAGACCAAATTTTACTGCCACTGAAAATATTTTGAAGATGTTGAAATGAACTGCATAGCTGGTACTAAAACTCTTTCCCTCCCCACCCTCCACCACCATGGTATTGTTTTCTTAATAACTTTGGTTAGTGTTAACTAATCTTCAACCTCATAAGGTTTGTGACTGTATCTATAAAATGCAGTAACTCACTGCCATTCAGTCCATTCCAACTCCAGCAGCCTAACAGTCCCACATGTACATAGGTCTCTTTATAAAGCACATCTAAGGCTCTCCTGGCTCTACTTTCAACTCAATCTTGTGACTCTTTTTTTTAATAACATTGTGTTAGCATATAGCTCAAAACTCATATGATTGAGTCTTTTTAAAGGACAATCTAATCTTGGTTCCTTTTTCTTAGCTTGCCAGGATGTTCCAAAAGTCAGATACTAGACTAAATTTTTGTAGATTTAGTCCGTTGGTTCTATGTGAGCAGTAGGATTTTAAGAAAATCCATGTTAAAATTTCTAATGATTAGAAAATGCTTTTTAAATCTTTGGGTTACAATTGCTCGGTTCCACATTTTTCTCTGCACTTACAAAGGATTGTAAAGAACAGGAGAAGGGAAGGCAAATATAGAGAGGCCGACAGTTCTGTAGACCAGGAGAACATGGCATAAAATACACCGACTTTCCTACTCTGGTTCCCAGTGCTAGTTTTCTTAAGGCTAAATCTCATCCTTCTGTCTGCAGTTTATGAAAATACTAGTTGCTTCAATCATTTAAGAAAATATAATCAATAAAAAAATTAATATCTAATCAAGTCATAATTACAAACTATTCATAGCATTAAGATTCTTTGCATATATTTTTACATTCTTAAAATTGATAGCAATTGTTTGGGTGTCTGAAATGTTCTAAATTTGTGAATGCATGGAATCTGGTCAAGGTTAAGATAGTATTCTTTTACATTTTTAAAATTAATCAGCCTATTATTAGAGTTAATAATTTCAGTTTGTATTCTTCATTCCTTTGTGTGTTCATCCTGACTGTGGATAAGAAAGCAGCTATTCATTTGCTCTTAACTGTGAGGTAGAAAAGTAATAAATACAAAAAGAGCCTGTTGTAGTTAGAGTTGATTTGTAAGGTTTTTATTTTAAATGTTACTGACATGAATGTTTTGTTTCCAAAGGTGAGTTATGTGGGGATTTGATGGGGGAAATGTGATGGTATTTACATGCCGTCTTGTTTTTCAGGTGGCAGACTGGGTAGACCCATCATTTGATGACTGCTCAAAGGATACAAGCATCTCTGCCATTGCTGCTTCGTCATTGGTTGTGAATAACTCCATTCATAGAAGAAAATGTATGCCTTCCACAGTAGGAAATAGCCCATTTCCAGCTAGAAAAAGAGGAAAGCTGTCCTCCTCGAAACAGACTCGTGGTCTAGAAAATTCAAAAGAATCTCTGCCTGAAAGTGTGCCATGGGTGGATAAATATCAGCCAGAAACTCAGGTATGAAGTAGCGAGCAGACATGTCTGAATAACTTAATGCCTGGGTTGTCTAGGGTGGGTGGGAAGGAGAGGGATATATAGTGTTAGATTATTACTCCTAAAAATCTTCATTCTAAATAAATTGGAATAGAATAATTTCTAGGGTGTTTTCATGGCGTAAGGTTCAAGTTTTCTCAACAGTTATTCAGAAGGTATACTATTGGTTAGTTTTTTTCTTAGATTAAATGTAATCCCAACCTAGATTCCACCTGTTTATTATATTTGCTAATTGTAGGTTTTTTTCCAATTCACCTTCCAAAATGTATTTCTAGAATTTTAAAAAAGGTTTATAAGTTGCAAACTTAACCAAGTAATTATGTGATGGTGTCAGCTTACAGTGTTCTTCCATGATAATATAGAAGATTAAGTATCATGAAAGAGACCCTTTCTATTAAAATGTTATGTTACTTGTTTGCTGCCCCGAATTAAACATTTTTGGCTTAACATGTGTTCATGCATCAGAAATCCTTGAATTAAAATATTTTATCTTTAAAATTGACATTTTTATCTTAGCATGAACTTGCTGTTCACAAAAAGAAAATTGAAGAAGTTGAAACCTGGTTAAAAGCTCAAGTCTTAGAAAGGCAGCCAAAACAGGTAATTAGTAAATCTGTTTAAAGTATTTTACACCAAGTGCTTCTCTGGCTTACAGGTGATTATAAGAAGTTAAACGTGTAGGACGTTTGGCTAAATAAGTCCTCACTTCCAGTAGACAGCTCCCTGACTTTACCACCTCTAGTCTCACCGAGAGCCTCAGAAGCTGAGTTCTCCCTTTTACTTCCACCTCTTTCCCACTTAGGTCCTGTCATGAACATAATGCACAGGTAGTTACCTAAGGTGCACATATACTTATCACATCAGATTATTTTTCACAGAAGCAAGCAGGCAAGTCATATATTAGTTTTGTACTAAAGATAGTATAAATACTCATCATTTGTTTTAAAATGATGTTTTCTGTTTCACTTCCTAGTTCTGGTTACCTTACACTCATCCAACAGCTTGCATAGTCTCTCTGTTTCTCTTTTTTAACTTTTTATTTGGAAACTCTTCAAATAGACAGGAAATATATAATATATCAAGAGATAGCAGTAGTTACCACTGAGTTTTATAGAAAAAGCCAGTCATTTTTTTTTTGTATAAATAAATTTGGTTGGAAAAAAAATAAATTTGGTTGTACTAATGTGTTAAAAGAAAAGAAAATACAGTTTTAAAAAATAGGATAGTGAATACTCATATACATCATTTTCCCTTTTAAATGTTTCAAGTAAACTGTACAAGATGACACAGGACTGGGTAGCACTTTGTTCTGTTACATCTGACGTCCTCATGACTTGCTCACTCACAACAAGAACCGGCACAACTGTAGATACATTTCAGTCCTCTTTCGTGTCTCCCAAGGTTTTGACTTGTTGAAGAGACAGGCCATTTGGAAGTCTCACATTCTAGGTGTGTCAGGTTATTTCCTCATATTAATAACTGGCCTTTCCTATCCTGCGTTTCTTAAAACTTGTTAATTTGAACCAAGGGCTTTATTAGATTCAAGTTGGACATTTTTGCAGGACTATTTTATAGATTTTATTAGATTTCATAGATATTTTAGATTCTATCGTATCAGAAAGCTTGTCTGGTTCTCTTGTCACTGACTTTATGTTTGACACTAGATTAAGAAGGCAACAGGCTAAAATCTTGATTTTTAAGCAACTGTCACTTAACTAGTAGGGATTAACAACTGCGCCATCTGGTCTACTTTATAAATCCTTATTTGATATAGCAAATCTTCCCCACATTTTTATTTAACTTTAACATCTCCATCAGACCATATATATGAGGGAAGTTAGTAGGACAACACAACCTCTAGTGTCTTTATAGCCTCTGATAAATATATTACTTAATAGATATTTTCTAAATAATCTGATATTCAGGTTAAGGTCTTCTTGTAAGAGTGTTATGTGTGCATAATTTGAGAGTTACTTTCCTAGGAGAGGTCTGTATTAAGGTTGAATTGAAAAGTATACTGTCATCCTGGTGATTTTTGATTTTTAAATAATATTTTTTTATTTGGTTTTAGGGTGGGTCTATTTTATTAATCACAGGTCCTCCTGGATGTGGGAAGACAACAACTCTAAAAATTCTATCAAAGGAGCTTGATATTCAAATACAGGAGTGGATTAATCCTGTTTTACCTGACTTCCAAAAAGATGATTTCCCGGAGATGTTTAACGTTGGTAAGGTTTGCTTATGATGGTAATGAATATATCTGGGAAAGCCTGTACACAGTGGAGCTTTGAAATGAACCACCTACTGTGTATTTGATTTCCAAGTCCTATTAGTTAGATGTGTTTGAGAAGAAGATCTGCAATGCCATTTATTCTTTAACCACAAAGATTGTTTTTAGAATTTGGGCTTTATGACCAGAACGTTGACTAGTTAGTCTGGTTCAAACTCCCCAGCGGAGAGTTTGGTTTTCACCTCTGAGTTGCTGAGTTCATTTTAGTAAGATCTATAAAAATCACCTGAAGATCTTGTTAAACTGTAGGTTCCAATTCAGTATGTTTGGGGTAGAAATGTAAATTCTCATCAGGGAGGTCCGACATAATGAATGGGTTCGAAGCTTTTCTTGTTTCCATATCCAAAAACAAAAGTAGAACGTTTGTTTCATTACAGCTTCATGTATATGCTTTTATACATCACCACCATCATTTTTTATTTTGGTAGTTTTGTTTTAAACATAGAGGTCACTAGAAGGAGCCTTGGTGGTACTGCTAACTGCAGGGTGCGTGGTGCAAACCCACTCCCACTGTGAAGGAGAAAGGTGAAGCTATCTTCTCCCATAAGGTTTGTAGCCTTGGGAATCATGCATAGGGTTGCTGTGAATGGGAATGTAATTCGCATATCATACAATTTAGTACTTCAGTCATAGTAAGACTTGTGTAATCATCATCACAGTTAATTTCAGACCATTTCTTCTTTCTTGTACTCCTTGTTAGTCCCATTTCCTCCCAACCTCCAATGCCATGACCTAGGTAATTATTAATCTAAGTACTGGTTTTAGAGATTTACATATTCTGGATTACATATGCAGAAATCAAACAAAACAAAAACAGGAAGCAAAAAAACATGACAAAACAGAAAAACCTTAAACAAAAAGAAAGTAAAAAATATTAAAAACTGAAACAACTTTAAAATGGATCAAAAGGGAGATCAAATTATAAGGTGTTACATTTTAACCTAACTACATCTACCATAATCCCTTTTACAGTACTCTCTGTAGTGAGAGTGTTCATATCCCTAGACTGTTGTAGAGGGTTTTCACCAGAAACTCAATCCACGTGTGGACCCTGCAAATGTATTTTGGACTTTTTAATCGTTTTATTAGGGGCTCATACAATTATTATCACAATCCATACATACATTAGTTGTGTAAAGCACATTTGTGCATCCATTGCCCTCATCATTCTGAAACCTTTTGCTCTCCACTTAAGCCCCCGGCATCAG